GCCAACCAAGACACCGACAGCGATGAGGGATGAGATCGAGGCATTACTTCACGCTGTAGAACAAAAGACAACAGCAGGCGAACTGCAGACATGACGAATCGTTTTATTTTTTATTTGTTTTTGTTGTTTTTTTTTTTCTTTGATGTTTACTGTTCCGTTGGAAAGTTGTTGTAACTGTTTTTGCATTCACTGTTACTCGGCCTTCTGGTGACCTCTTTCATTCATGTTATGGAATGATGTAGTTTTCAAAGAAACCTAGTTGAAAAGGATGACGAAGTTCAACTCTGCATCAATGGCGAGAAGAAATGCGGCGATGAAACGATGGCTAATCAAAGTCCTACTTGCATGACTGCTGTTCGTTGGGCCGGCGCACAAGCTGTACAGCTGTTCCATATTGCACCTTATCAGTGGTCATGTGTAGTGGCTGTTATCAGAGTTCTTTAGTTCCATGTGGATCGATTTTGTGCTTTTTGTGCTGTGTAACAGCGTTATAAAACGCATGTCGGGGTTGTCTGTGTGTATGTGTTTGTGTGTGTCACGGAGTTGTCTGTGTGTGTTTGTGTGTATGTGTGTGTATTTGTGTGTGTTGTCCCGCACTTTCATGTCGGGGACTACAAAAGCTAGGCGGCTGAAATTTTGGTATAGTGTTCCCGCCAACGGGTGATGCGGCAAATTTAAATTCAGTCCTCTTACTCGCGGGTAACACGTACGGCCCCGTGAAAGTTTTTTACGGGTAAATTAGTATATCAGGAACCACGGAGTTTAGGAGGCTGAAATTTTAGGGTAAGGGTAAGGGCCCCTTGTCCACGCTCAACCTTGCCTATTCAAATTCAGCGTTTCCTCGCTGTTGAGTATCACCTATGGCCTCGTGAGAAATTTGGCGGTAAGATATCGGGAATCACGGAAAGATATTCACCCTTCAAGGTTTCGAATCCAGCTTTCATGCGTTGGTGCGTGAAATTTTTAATTATTTTCCAAAGCAGTGAAAATCATTAACAGGCAATTGTTCGATGGGCTGAATTGCACAACACGTATGATCGCACCGGCTAGTCTGGTGCGCGTTGCTATTTATTTAACTCTGGCGAGGAGTTGGAATTTTCGTAGAACGGTTTTATGTTGTTGGAATTGATTGCGATTTTTTTTTCCTGCAAATCGCCTGCCATTTTCTTTTCAGTGGTACCGCGCGTGAAAATTTCGCCTCATGCGATCGTTAAATATCACTACAGGTTACGCAATAAATTTTCGACTTTTGCAAGATTCCGTAAACAAAAAATTGTGTGACTCATCCATATAAATGAAACCACAGCGCTCACTGATCTCTGAACTGTTTACGGATCACTCGGCAAACGAATTTCGTTCTTACGTTATTGATTTTGGATGCTATCCAGAAAATGCGATACTTCTTTCTACATAGTAGGTGTTGTGGAAAAACAATCCTCGATGGTAGGATCCACGGCGGTCTCCTGTGAGGAGGAGGGCAGACCGGGGATGCGGGAGAGTTTTTTACAGTTTTACCACTGCTACCTGTTTCACCGGGGCCATCGCCTATGATGGTAGGTGTTGATGTCCGGGCGATCTTTACAGCACAGGATGTTGTTTCGGCATTTGAAAGGATATCAGTTATGTAACACGAAAGAGATGTTAAAATCGTCGGAACGAAGAGGATTTGTATTTTACATCGAGATCTGTTTTGTTTTAAAATTAAATTCTTTTATGTCATGCCATTACAAATTATATATATTTGATTGTGAAGAATACGTGTATTCTGGACCCGTAAAACTTTACCTTTTGTGTTTACTAGTTTTAATTTTGATATCAGTATTATTTAAAATTAAACCCAATTTTACACTAATTACCACAGTCGTCGTACTGACGAGATCCAATTGTGGTAATGTTAAGAAATGTACACGACTTATGAACCAAGACATTTCTTACCACTGTAATATGTTTTTCGGTTTTTACTAGTTCCTTAATAGTATTTGCTTCTTCTTCCAACATTATTCTATTGGTTGCAGGGAGCGCTGCTCTCGTGCTGAATGTTAGGAGTTTGATTAAAGAGAATAAGACAGCCAGTCTCTCTGGGATTCAT